CTTTGGTCGGCGGGCGGAAGAATTGAGCCGTGGAGCGCTCATTCTTGTTTGCGTGGAAGTCGAAGGCGCGGTCGGTATGGTAGAGACGCCTGAGATCCTCGGTCTCGAGGTAAATTCTCTCTTCCTCCTCGAGATCGTGGTCATTTGAATGACCTTCGCTGTGTAGACGCCGTGCTTCAGTCACGCGTGCGACCGCACTCGCTTTTCCCCGCAAGCAGTGCGTTTTTGTAAAGCGGGGGGCGGATTGAAGGAATCGCCTGGTTCGCTTCTTCCAGGCATGCCACAGGACACCGGGATTGTGCGCGGTACGTATGTCTGTCAATAGCCGTGATGCCTCTGTCACGATGGCCTCACGGATCTGTGGATAGTGCACAATCTCTTTCGGCATTTTCCAGTAACCTCTACCCATCGACTGGTGGACGTCCTCGAGCACCAGTGTGTGGATCGCATGATCACCTGCGACGTGTTTCGCTAGGCGATGGTAGTCGCTAGAGACGTAGCAGTCCCTCACCAGGTGCGTGTCGGCCAGGATATAGTCTAACCGGGTCTTGTTATGTGGTCCGGAGTAGGTTCGCGTCTCCTCGTGGTGCATTCGCCACGCATCCATCGCCCGGAGCGCGACCAGCCACTCGAGACAATTGCCACGACCCACGGTGTGATCGTGATGCTGACGTTCCACGTCAAGATACAAATCGAGCGGTAAGTTTAAATCGCCCAGGACCACATGTATGCTGTCGTCTGGGAAGTCGCGTGGTAGGCTGTCGAAGAACGCCGCCCATTCGGCCGATCGAATCGGGGCAAACACGCAGGGAAAATATACTGGGGTCTCCTGCCAATTTGTACTGACCACCATGTATTTGTACGGCACGTCCAGCTGCGACAGATGTCGAAGGTCGCGGAAGCCTGGGAGTGTGTCGTCGAAAACGAGTGCAACACCTCCACTTCGATGTGCTGGGTCCTCGTTCGGCGCGGGAACGTAGTGTGGTTCGGTACGTAGGTCATTTACAGCAAGGAAGAACTTTCCGTGTCCGAATGCGTGTTGAATGTGATAGGAAAGTGTCGACAGGTGATGTCTGTCCTTCAGTATTGTTTCTTGTAGGGCCACTACGTTTGCTTGGCGGACTATGCGCTCAACAAAGGTTTGCCCGTTGTCGACTGACGAAATGCCATTGACATTGCACGTGAGGAATTTGACGGATGGGATGGATTGGTGTCGGTTTGACAGTAGGCGGAACTTAGTTCCGACGTGCTGGGGCCTCTAGGCCAGGCTGGGTTAGCCGAAGGAAACGGTTCGTCCCGTTCTTGCAAATAGACAAGGATTGATCGTTGTCGTAGACTTGGTTCCAATCCGTCATTCGCTGTAGCTGTTGTACCAGTCCATGCGTGGGTACATGGTCCACCAATCGTCCCAGAACGCAATGACCCACTGGTGATTGTAGGATGGTCAGCAGGGTATTCGGTGTTAGCAGGCGACCTGC